AGACACTATTTTGCTCATATGCAAATGGAGACGTAATATAAGAATTACGAATCCAACGCTGCATTGGTTCTTGGCTTCTGATTCATTGGAGCTGAATTGGATGTGGGTGGCAGGGCGTCTCTGTGGCGGCGGCTCTCCTATGCTGCGGTTTGAATCCCACCTCTGCTCTAGGTGGAGTTTGCATTTTCTCCCCAGGTAGGCAAGCTCTTACTGTCCAAGGGCATGCAGTTAGGCTAATTAATAGCCCTAAATGGCCCAGAGTGTGTGTATGTACCCTGCGATGGACTGGCATGCCACCCATGGTGGATCCTACCTTGTGCCCAGTGCTGACTGGGACAGTCTCCAGTACCCCACCCATTTCTAGGATTAGTGCTTGGAAGCTGGATGGATGAACTGAATGCTTACTGAAAGCTAACTATGACAGCTGACATTTATAAAGAACATTTTTGAAATGTAGGAAGACATATTTCTACTTCTTAAAAATAATACCTTTTTCAAGTATAGGCTACTCATAATTTCTGATGTATATTTATTTACCCTTATCTAGCACTTCTAAACTACTTCATTAATTAATGCTTTCTTAGCCGTTCCTGGCCGCTAAACAGTTACTTAATTCAGAAAAGGTGATGCAGAAGACTGTACTTTTCCAGTAGCAAAAGTTAAAGAAATCAGTTTTCTCATTTATTGTTTCAATAGCCATAAAGCACTTATAATTATGTGCAAACAATACATATTAATTAGGTAGATGCTGTTTAATTTGCTTATTGAGAACTTTTACCCAAAGTGACTTACACGTCATGCAGTTTCAGCTTTGTATGTGGAAATGCATTACTTCAAAGCTATTTTAACTACTTTGCACAAAGATACAAGAGCATGGACCTCTCTGGGACCTTTGCCTGGAACCTGTTATGCTCAGTCACCTACAGCATTATTTTGAAGCAGACAAAATGACTGCTTGGAACGATACCCAACATATGGTACACAGTGGGTCCCCACGACTCTGGTTGAGATTTATTTGAGTTGGACGGTGCTTGCAGTAGGTTATGCTTGTAAATGAATCCAGCATAGATTGCAATGACAGTGCAGCTGGGAAATTTCATAAATAACCTGAAATTCAAGCTGCAAACGATGAATTTAATAGCTGTTGTCTTTATTATATATCTTGCATCAGTGCTGTGTATTGTGGTGCTAGATTAAATAAAGATAATACTAAGGACTAAACACCAGAAGTTCTTAATGTCCAGAGGAATTATTGGCAGTCAAAAAGGAATAGAATCTGCTTAAACAAAGTGTCACTCCTGACCTTGTGTATGTTAGAAAACAGAGCTTGCATTACTGAATGGTATCACTTGCAAGTGCATCTCCACAAACACGCAGCATTAATGATGATGTTCTAGATGTCTACCTTAGCATTGCCTTAATTTTAGAGCAGTGCTAAGTGGCTTGCGTTTTTGTTCCAGAACACATCCTCTTGATTCTGCGCCAACAGTTATCCTGTTTTTTTCTGTTGTCCTAGCAGAGCACATATCTTGGCTTATGCTCCGACTGAAATCCTACCTTTCAGTAAAGCTAACCCCCCCATTGGCAGTAAGGAACTTGGCTACAGCAATGACAAAATCTACCACTGTTTGCACTTGGCCAACGTGCCCTTGAAATATGGGAGACCGTCTTTTTTTCACATAACTGCTGACTTGCTTCTAAGTGAGTCTTGTCTCACCAAAAGGCAAAACTGTAGATTTTTACTGACCAGACAGAAGCAATAGCGAAGACGACAGAGAGAAAAACATGACCGCAAGATGTGCCTAAGCTTGCCAAAGACCTAGTAATGGACAAAACAGAGAATTGGGTTTGCCCCAATAGCCGCTATGCATGCTGGAATATTAACATTGGAATGGGTTTTGCGAGGAAGAAGACACAGAGAACACAAACTGCTCAAACAGAATGGCTGTTTCAAGATTCTTGCTTGTGCTTGAGGTCAGAGCCGGCCAATCAGAGAGCGAGGGGAATTTACAAGGCATCTCCCATTGCTCCTTAACCAAGTGCGCAGCCAAAGTGTTATGTAATTCGTCAGACTTCATAGGTTGCTGCAATATTTCAGCTTAAAAAGCCTTTAAAATTGTCACAGACCTGCAGTTTTTGTCAAAAAAGGATGAATAAGCATAAATCAAGCTTGAGTCAACGTTAACTTTGTAGGACAGCATGCATGACACAAGGATTGCAATATTGCACATACAAACACGCATTAATTCATGCTCCAAATCTTTTTCAGTTTGTTTTTTAGCCTGATTTCAGTTTCAAACAAGATGAATCATCAGGGAAAAAAAGTAAAATGTAAACTTTTAAATAAAATTGATTTAAAAATATTCACAGAATAAAGTGTTAATTACCTTATTTATTTTAGATTATTATTTAGTAATAATTATTTAATCAGTGTTTATGTTTTTTTAATTGTATTTTATTATTTGTGTATTTAAAAGTATATATTTTTTCCCAGTTATATGATGCTTTTAGCATCTGTAAAAAAGGACATTGACTGTCACCGGAAATACAAACCTTCTGTGGAGTTGGACTGGAGCTCGGCGATAGATTTGAAAAAGGACGGCTGAAATGCTTAAAGCCATCTTCAGGCACAGAGCGTCAAAGTAACCCGACGCAGTCCAGCGCAGACCGAAGCCAGTGGAAACATGGCACTGGTTTGTAAGGTACTATGCAAGCTTCCATAACCCCAGCAACTCCCTCACATTACTGGCTTCAGGTTTTCACCAGCTGGCCGGGCTTCCTTGACTCTTTGCCACTGCATGCTCTCATTGTCCAAGCATTTAAAAAACCACAATGAAATGGCTTTAATTTCATCGCCATTTACTAGTCTGCTCTATGGTCTGTGGAGTACTCAGGGTCTACACCCAGACTGCACATATTTTATAAACAAGTCTTGCAGTCAAACCAGTGCCCCCCAGGGAAGTACCCATTAATCAATGTATGCTTCCCTTGAGTATCATTTTGGTTAGTTATACTGTGTTCAGGGCTGCTTTTCCAGTTAATTCGTACATAAGAGCGTACCTAAGCATTCAAGATCAAATTAGCATTTTTAAAATACATTTTCAGTGATTACCACAGTCAAACACTCTTACATTTCCCTAAAACATCTGCCTCTATATGGTTTATTAATATACATTTAAAGAGGCTGTGTACATACAGTTTAATTACTACTGCAGGTTTTGTGCATACTCCATCATACTTCTGAAAGGTCTTCAGCGTACAGTGAAAGGTCTTCAGCAGTCAGTGTTAGTTTATCATGCCGGTAATCACTGATGCTATGTTGTACAGTGCATCTAAGGGTCGGCGGTTCGAATACTACCTATGCTGTGGAGTTTGCATGCTCTCCATGTACTCATGGGTGCAGAAGAGGCAAGGCGAGCAACTGCCTGGGGACCTGAGCTGGGAGGGACCCCGGGGGGAGGGAATTACATTGTTTACATTGTTAAATTGTATTGTACATTTTTGTAAAAGTGAAAATGAAGGGCTTTTGTTTGCCAGGGCCCCCAGGAGCTGCTCTGCCTCCGGCCCCCAGGAGCTGTTCTGCCTCGAGCCCCCAGGAGCTGCGCTGCCTCCGGCCCCCAGGAGCTGTTCTGCCTCCGGCCCCCAGGAGCTGCTGTCTCCGGCCCCCACGAGCTGTTTTGCCTCCGGCCCCCAGGAGCTGTTTTGCCTCCGGCCACCAGGAGCTGCTCTGCCTCCCGCCCCCAGGAGCTGTTCTGCCTCGGGTCCCCAGGAGCTGTTTTGCCTCCGGCCCCCAGGAGCTGCCCTGCCTCCGGCCTCCAGGAGCTGCTCTGCCTCCGGCCCCCAGGAGCTGTTCTGCCTCGGGCCCCCAGGAGCTGCTCTGCCTCCGGCCCCCAGGAGCTGTTTTGCCTCCGGCCCCCAGGAGCTGTTCTGGCTCCGGCCCCCAGGAGCTGCTCTATCTCCGGCCCCCAGGAGCTGCTCTATCTCCGGCCCCCAGGAGCTGCTCTCCCTCCGGCCCCCAGGAGCTTTAACCAAGTATTCATTTTTTGCTTTGAATTTCAGTTGTCTGGATGGATATCTGTCTAAGTCTGCCTGAGAATAATGCAATGTATCTCATTTGACAATTTTAAAACACATAATTTTGTTATGTTGAACACATGATATGTTTACATTTGTCTTTGTGACAAAATAAGATGCTAAAAAATAAATTATTGTAACAATTGTCTAAGAGTATCAGAGACCTGGACAGTGACCTTGAAAGCCTTTCTCTAGACTTCTGGCGAGGACACAATAGAGAATACACTGTTAATCAGTGCTTTCAGAGTTGTCATTACAAATCAATAATCTGTATCAGAAATTCATATTACTTGTGTTTATCCATCGATATATAGAGTATTATGGCCTGTAGAATGAAGTCCCCAGCATCTATTATTCTTGTATTAGTTTGTATTGGAATATTAATCTTATCGCATCCACTAAAAAGGCATGAATTGTCTATATGAAACTTCATCTCTTCATTGGAAGTTGCATGACAAGCCCCCTGCCTAATCTAAAAAGTGAGAAATTTTCATTATGTCATCAGTTTTCATCAAATTATGTTTTAAGACACAATGCATTAATATGTCAGGATATTTCAGTAAAAGCACAAGAGTTCTGTTAAGTATAGCTGATTGAATTAGGTGTTGTATGCATGTACATACGAATGCATGTATGTACGTATGCATGTATGTACGTATGCATGTATGTACGTATGTATGTAGGTGCACCGCTACAGATTTTGGGCCCCATAAGAGCAGAACATATTGGGCCCCCAATGTAGCTCGGTCCAAGTACAACACATTCTAAATGTTTTAGGGCCCCTGTCAATCAGGGGCCCTTGGAATCATCCTACCCCCCCGCCCTCCTTTAGGGCACCCCGTATGAAAATATGTATGTATGATAAGATAAAATAATAAACATATAAACAGTTAGCCAGAAATGTGTTGTTTTATGTGCTGTTTTATTTGGACGTGGTGCACGGTAAAAGTGAAGCCATGTCTGTCCATGCTGACGGTTATAGAGGACCTCCCTCAGAAACCTACATGCCAGCATCCTGAAGGTTTATGGGATTGTTCTGGCAGCACATGACCGGAGTCTGTGAAAAAAAAATAAAAATGTGGAATGTTGTTCCCCAGGGAAGAACCTCCATGTCTTACAAAAACACACCACAACTGTGTTTTGGGGTTTTCTTAACCCTGAGATGCACAGTTCACCCAACACACACAGTATGACGCCAGAGATAAGATCATATGCCTTCTCCTGTAACAGCGCTGCCCATGTGAACATCTCAGCTTAAGACAGAAACAGGCAAATTTTTCTATAATGTTAAGTTAATTGATTTCACATTTTACTCAATTTCATTGAACAGAATAATCTTTACGTAATATTTAGTTTTCAGGTATATTTTTAGAAATGTAAACAGGATAAATATTAATGATGTAACTTACCATAAATTGTATATACTACAAAACAACTTAGGCCTAACTCAGTACATTTAATTTTACTTACAATGCAAGTGAACTTTTATAATGGTCTTATATGAAAAAGATGAGTATGACGATTGATATCCAATATGTAATTCCTCGCTGGAATCCCATTTTTCAATTATCTTTTGCTTTCTTTTTAGATGGTAATTTTTAATGACAATGTAAAATGTTTTATGCTTTAAGGAAAACCTACTTTTTCAGGGGATTATGTAGATAAATAAGATATGAAAGAGTAAGTATGGAAAACTTCCTTTGCGATTGAACTGGTTTAAAAATACTCTCTCTCTCTCTCGTATATATATATAGTGGATGAAGTGGATGGTAGTATATACATATTTGGTTACACAGATACCCCCAATTCATATAAGCAGGTCAAGACAGCTGTCGTCCATATATATTTTGCGAAAAGAACCGAATCTAAGCTTTGATCATTTTAATTATCATAAAAAATACCAATAATAAAACATAATTTAAATTTCCAAAAAAGCAAAGAATCTTAATTCACTAATTATATAATACATTCCATTTCTTAAGAAAATGAACCTCATCTGTTGGCATCTTCGGGAGTTAACATTTTGAAATACGCCACAGGAACGTCGTCTGTTTGATTTCGATTAATAAGGTTTAGGCATCAATGAGAGACATGCAGCTGATACGTGTCTGTCCATTAGGCCTGCTTGTGATAACGGTATTTACCTGAAGTGTAAGGAAAACGGCCCGGCGGTTCTTGCAAGGCTGAGAAGCGAACCAGATGCTGCACACCTTCGCCCACGCCCCCACCCCACATGGGAGCACCCAGATTATGTGCTGTGCTGCGCTCGGCTAGATAAAGAAAATCACATTTGGTGTGGGAGTATGCGGGAGTGGCTTTCGAGGACGGCCTCGCCGTTTTGCTCGGCACACACTTCACTGCCATTGGTTAATTAATCATCTCGTACTGCCTGACGGTGCATAGCAATGAGCCGCATTATAATAATCATAGAGTCCCAGCTTAGGTCTGCTAAACACTATGCATATACGGTTTACTCCGCATATACTTAGTGCTGATCGTATTCAATTACTCATTGACTGTTCAGAGCATCTGACTTAACCACTGCACCATGCATAAGCTTTCAAGATTCAATATTGACAATTCTAACGTTTTATTGTCATAGGGTTACACACATATTACAGATTACACTAGTGACTTCCAAAGCCCAATCAAAATGTGAACCAAACAATATGTACAAGAGGTAAGCGATGTACAAAAGAAGTAACTTGCATATATAAAAGTAAACAATATGCAACTTATTAAAGAAACAGAGACCCTGTGAACTAGCATTACATAGTGCTTTAGTGACAAGTGAGTTTATCATGTTATTGCATATATTTGCATATTGCACAAAGAATTTTTGCGAAAGCGAAATGGTCCATTATCGTACTTATGTGAGAATCCAATAATAGCACATTGTGGTTTCTCAGACCTTTTCTGTTCCTTTCGAGATTTGTAGCGCGTTCTTTCTCGCAGCCTTTTCTCAGCCTTTCGTTGCCGCAGTGTCCAAAACTGCACTCTAATAGGTAAACGACCTTACTGTTCCTAAACAATATCAATTAAACGTTCTCTAGCGGGCAAAACATTCCATTCACTGTGGCTAACTTTTTCCAGCTTGCTGACGGTCTCGCGTCCGCGTTACTACGGTCGGCGCGCGCCTTCTGACAAACACGCGCCGAGTTATTCCGGGAAGTGGCTGCAGCGGCCAGGCTACCTGGTCCTTGTGGGCCCGCGCGCCGCTTCCCCTCCAATAGCTTTGAACGGTGACCGCGGCCCTGGCACCAAAGGCAGACTTTAGACAGTGATGCTCTGCATTATTAAGGAGGAAGAACCAAGTGAATGCAGCAGCCAAACTGCTGGATGAAACCCTACACCCAAATCCAGGCTTTGGGCACTGGCAGAAACAAAAGCTCAATTGCTCTTCCGACTCCTGTGTCTGTATATATATACACACGAGGTTTTATATATATATAAAAATTTATACACGCAAACTGTCTGGCCGAGCACAGAGATAATCAATATGAAACATCTGGAGTCAAATGGGGTAGATTTTGTTTTTTTTTTTATATTTGCAGTGAGTGATTTTTGTTGAAATTCGCCCTGACAAACTGAGACAGGCATGGTCTGCGTTGCTAGGGAGCAAGAGAAAACGTTCGCCTCGCTCAAGGCGAGGACCACATGCGGCGGAGTGTAAAACTGACTGCGGGCAACCAGTCGAACGGTATATTTTAAATCCCCGTGCAGTCGGCGAGGGGAGAAAATTAACATCGCAATCTGAATAATAAATACATCAGCCTGTCCCTCCCCCTTCCGTAAGATGCCACACGTTTTTTTTCTCTCGACATCATAATTGACCCATAATTTCTGTAAATGGACATGCAAATGAGTGATCGTAAATCACAATAATTTTAAAGATTAATTCCTGCGGCTGAGGAGCTTTGCCAAAGTTTAAGGCCCGGCCCGGCGACTGCAGAGGGCGAGATGTGAACGCAACGATCAGACAATAGCGAGATGGGCGGTAGAAGCTGCTTCTAAAAGTAGGAATGAGGCACATGAGGCAGCCTGGTGGACAGGAGAGCGGAGCGCTGTGCTGGCATCCCAGAAACGAGCGAGACCGTGGGGCTTGAGAGCCAGCCAAAGCTGCATCCCACCGAAGGGCAACTGGAGAAGGTGGGGGTGGATCAGCGGAGCATGGCCCCCACAGGGCAGGTGCGTGTGTGTGTGTGTGTGTGTGTGCGTGCACGCGCGCTCGTGTGTGTGTGTGTGTGTGTGTGCGCGCAGAAGTTCAGGGCAGGCAGCCATTACATCTGTGCTGTTTCAGGCTGGCCTGGAATCTGGATCCTGGACGGAATCGGTGTGTATGTGCATACACGTGTGCGTAAGTGCATTTCACACGCTTTAGCCGCGTTTGTAATTAGTTTCTCGGAAAATATTAGTCTGTTTGTTTTGTATATTATCCACCTATTCCACTTCATTATTCAAGTCTGCTTTTCGATATAGGGTGCAGGGGCGAGTTGGATATTGGGGGGGTACAGCACAATAATTTAAATACGAAGGTATTTTTACTGAGGGGGTGAATTAAGCCACATTAAATATTGGGGGGCTCCTACGCTCCTGCCAGTCTATATAAAACACTCATATATTTCCCTGTCTTCTGTAGATACTTTAATATGTTAGATTTTCGAATATATATAAATGTGCCTACCTGGTGTTTTGGATAGATTATACCAGAAACCCAAGAACTGTATAAGTATTGAAGAAAACAATATATTGTATCACAGTAGACGTTGGACAGGCTCAGCTAGCAGTTGAGGTCATTGATTTGGAGAAACGGGGACTGTCTCTTTAAGGGCGATGCAGCTGGGAAGCTTTCGCTTCGTCCCCTGCAGGTTCCCGGCTCTCCCGGCTCCACCTGGCTGCTCGCAGCCACTCAGCGCTGTGCCACTCCGCAGGGTGTGGGCAGCCTTGGGCGCTGACAGAGCTCCCAGCAGGTATCGCTCTCTGCGAGGACCTTCAGTGGATGTTACTCCAGCTCGGAGCGAAGCAACCCCCGCGCCATTACCCGTCGGTGATCACCTCTGCCAACTCCGCATCACAGGAAGCCTTTAAAACTCCCCTTTTTGGTTTTGAGATCTCAGGCGTGGATTCGTTGCTTTAAAACTGTCAGTGTCATAAGCAGTCTCTTCTATGAATCTGTCTAATTGAGCAATTTCCACATCAACATTACATGTTTGCTGGTATAGAAGATGGCTAAGCATATACTTGAGGTCACCAAAACTTGGACGCACTATGGAGATGTGATGCCTGTCCACTGCAGGGCAAACACACACATAATTATTCACCCTGACAGTGTTTACGCTTAAGCAAAATTAAATGTTAATGATATTTGAAGTGGTATGGTTGGTAGTTGGTGTTTAATAATAGGGACAGGGAAGTGAGCATTTCACGTCTGAATACTCTGTTTAATATTATGTTAATAGTGGCTGTAAGGGTAGCAGGTCAGCGGCAGATGTGATGCCCTGCATGGAAACAGCAGCTGCTTGTCCTGTGCGCGTGGTAACGTCCTGCTAACTCAGGTGCAAAGATGCGCGCAGATAAACCCCCCATCTCCTAACCTCGCGAGTGAGCACGATTATTCGGCCCTTTCTAGCACTTAGATAATTGTCACCGAAAGCGGAGCCGTCATTAATCAGGTTCATATTGTTTGGTGCTATGCAAAACCTCGCTGAACCCAGGCTAGCTGTATTAGGTCCTGAGTGCACATATGGAACAATGGAAAAATGAGGTAATGAAGCCTTTGACTTGCCGCGCACCGCACTCCTTTTAGAGCTAATTGGGAAAAACCTAGAGGGCACTAATTTAAGCACCGTACCGAGTAAATGTAGTGCAACCAAGTATGAAGGGTGAATCAATTCATTACATCTCCACTCTTTCTTCTCCTCTAACAAGTCAGTCTGTTCGGCCTAAGATAAATGCCAGTGACTACCGGTATCAATTTCTTTATTAAATGAGAATTGGCATCATTAACACCTGCTTGTTTCTTTTTTTTAGGGTGGAGATTTTCTCTTTTAAAGGTGCATTAATACTGACATTGATGCAATTATTTTGCAAGTGGCATACCCCATTTGCCTTGCAGTATATATGTTTTAACTTTCCCTTGTATTTGGTGATTTGATAGCAATAATAAAATGAGATTTAAAATAGGTTTAAGTGCTGAATCAACACTGGATTGACAGTCCCATATCTGTATAAACGTACAGGAAAGGCGGCTTAATAATACGGATGTTGTAATGCCAAAAAATCATTCACTGGGAATCATTCACTCGAGATTAAAAAAAACATGACCTGTTTGTACACTTAGGTTGTGTTAAGAGTATGAGTCCTGGGTTACGGTTGTTCTGTTGCTGCTTGAGGGTCTCTCGGTAGACCCCTGTCGGAGCTAGCTGGAGGAGAAGAGGCAGTCTGGGTTTATCACCTCCTACGTGACAAGCCCATGGGTGGATGAGCACAGACCTAGAGGACGGGTCTTAACTGGAATTATCCCCTGCCAAGGCCACTGATTTGAGCTGGCTTGCCAGACTTCCGGAAACAGGAGGCGTTGTTGTGGAAAAAAATGAAGAAAGGAAATGGGAAAAAGCGACCGATGTCTCCGGCCAAATCTGCGGAACTGCTGTACGTGTCTTGTTAAAAAAAAAAATAAAAAAATCAGGCAGCCCCGCCATACTAGGCGGTAACCGTGTACAGGGACACTTTTGTTCTGTGGTGTTGAAGATGCAGCTCCACCATCTGCCTCCTCCCTGTAACTCCGCCTCGGGCTACCCCGGGGGAAATAGCTGTGGATAAGTTATTCAATTAGAGGGGCATTATTGGCTTGCTAGTGCAGGCAACCGAGTTGATGATGCTGTGATTATCCCACCCTGCATTCCGTCATGTCCACGGTAACCTGGCCTCTTCTCCCCGAGCTCTTGTCGCCTGGGAGAGAAGCCCTCTTTAGATGGGAGGTAAAGGCTGAGCTGTGGGGAGGTGGGGGTCGGGAGGGGGGGGTGGGGGATAGATGGCAGTCCGTTGGAGATGCCCGACTGATTTCAATCGAACTTCCCTAGTAGTAGAGTCACACACTGTGACTGAGACTGAGACTGGAAAAATGAGAGAATGAGAAAGTAAACTAAATGAGAAGAAAAAACCTGAGGGAGTCTAAATACTAATCATTAATTTGGTTGTCATATATTTGCAAGTTATAACAGACTGACTGTATCAAACAAATGCATTGTCCTTTGTTTCATTAAAGTAAGGGATGTATAACTTATAACGCTGTGGATTTTAACCAAATAAAGAGCTGGAATCCAGTTCTTTTGAAGCACAAACACTCAACTGGCTTAACCCTGATTTATGGACTAATTAAACATTAAAGGATCTGAATGACAGGAAGTGTGATTTATGAAATGTTATTCATATGATAATGTTCATTTGGTCAGTGAATGTGTCATAACAAAAGCACAAGCGCACAGAGGAAAACGCGCGGGTTTCTGTTCGAGCCGCATTGCATTGGTCTCCTCTCCAGCCACGAACGCTAAATTAATCTTCCGAATGCAAACGATGGCTGCCCAGCAGGAAGAAGGCTTGGTGCCTCATCTGTTGTGCAGAGAATACAAATAGGTCAGCGTTGTATAGGAGGGACACCCTGGTTGTGAAGCCCTGCCAGATGAATTCCTCAGTCAGGCTTGATGTTAAGGGCCATCTGGTGTAAATGCTGGGAAGTCGAGCACAGGGCTGGCAGCTCAGTCTTTAGAGTACCCCACAGGCTCAGAGCCACACCTGAACCCCCCCAGCCCATGCCCCCCTCATAGACCTGTCACTTGTGCTCCTTCAGGCTCCTCCACCGCGGTATGCTGGGCCATGGTGAGCGGTATTGTTCAGCGGTCAGAAGTCTACGTCGTGTGACTAGCGCTTGAAGAACACCGCGGCCGTGCAATATGGCAACAGATGGGCGGTTAGATGTTTGTCATGGAGAGGTGCAAGGATCACGATGGTTTTTATATGCGAGTCCGGAGGCTGCGGCATCTCCAGAGATGGCTGCAGTCATTGCTGGAGACTCGCATGGTTTTACAGAGTAGAAACAGGTGAAAATTGACAATGCAAAGTGTGTGTTTATTATGTTTTAATACATTTTTGGCCCATCGTTGATCCATAATTCTGTCTGGTTTTCTGGCACGTGTGATCCCAATTCTGGTGAAACTGGCCAAAGGCTTTTAAAGTGACTCAACACGGAATGCGGTGGAAACTTGACGAAGTGAAGATAGGTGCGGACATGATGATGCAGATGTCTGTCTCTTGTGAGTGAAGCGTTGCTTTAGGCAATTCACATTAGCTTTCACACTAGTATCTTAACAGGTTGAAGGCTACCCCCAGGCTAACAACATATTCCTGAATTTTATTTGAATCTGGCAAATATAAACCTATATTGCTGAATTTATTATTAATCTTTTTATAACCCAGGGACTGTAACATTTTCACTATTGTCATTACAATGGTACTAAACTAGTTCTCATGATGTTCTTCATCCTACCTTCTTTTGAGTCACATACATCAGAAATGCTTGCATGAATTTAAAGATTTCAACCAACCTTGAATAGTCTGAGACTTCGATTTTTAATCTTTAATCGCAGGATACATGCAAAGAGGACATGTTCCATTTCTTCACTTCACACAAATTTGCATCCCATAGGTTGCAAAATTTTGTCGCTTTTTGTTGATATGACAAATATTTTCACAAATATTGTTCTGGGAAATATGGATTTAGTAGCCCTGATCTAATTGCTATTAAAACAACTCACCGACAAATATGGAATGTTCTTGAGTAGATAATTTACTGCCACCTTTCCCATTGTTAAATTCCACCACACATCCGTTGCTACAATAATTTCAACCGGTACCAGCAAATTACTGTGACCCCTTTAATCTGGACTATGATGAGGGCCCCTTCACTTCTCCATAGTCCCTTTAAAATCAGAAAAGTAGCTAGAGAAAGCAATGCTGTTGCCATGGCTACCTGCTGGCAGCCTCCTCGGTGTATTGAAAGCCCCCACAATGAACGGCACTGGCTGTTCCCTACCCAAGCCTGGGTGGGAGGGGGCGGGGCTGCTAGGAAACAAGGAAAGGTCTCTCTACCACCCAAGAGATGAAGCCAAGGCTGCTGGCTGGTAAAAGAC